GGAGCGGGGATCTCCGGGCTGCCCGGGGAGGCTTGCGGTAAACCGGGCAGGTTTCTGTTCCCCCGTCATCCTGGTAAGCTCCTACCGGCAGGAAATTGGGGCCTAGGAAGTCATTACTAGTCCCGTCGCCGCTGCTGCTAGCGAGGTTCTGCTTTAAATTGAAGACAGTCTTGAACTTGGCCTCCTCATTAAATGGGTTAACAATCTCAATATCGAATTGCATGTGGCAGCGCGTGTGTAACTTACCGGTACGTCCGAGGGGAGGAATTTTCTGCGCAAGTTCCTGTCCTTTAGGAACCTTTGAAAATGCCGACCCTAAAAAAATAAAGGGGTGCTTTGACAACAATTCTGTTGGAGTTGGAATTGGATGCAGAGTGGACCAGACGGGTCTTTTAGCTTGTTAGCTGTGTTATGTTCATATTTGGTTCAGAAACTGTGCAAAAGTAATTAAGTATAAGCATTTCCCCCTTTTCTGCTTGATACATGAGGATGCTGATGCCTAATAACCGAGTGCCAAGGGATGTGGCTTGTTCAAGTAAGCCTGCTTTGCCCGCAGGTATGGTCAGAGCTGGTCTCGCAAAGGGAAGAATGGAAACAGATGCCGGTTAGTCAGTAGTGTGCAATTTACAAGCAATGGGATGGGCAGCGATAAAGGCAAGTGTCAGTGCAGCTACCAGCAACTTCCCATTTTAGTCTGGAATTTAACCTGTTACATGTGTATTGCAAGGAGTGGATTTTTTTTTTTTTTTCCTCATTTGGCCTTTGCTTTTATTATAGAGACATGTTACAAGATTGAGGAGTACAAAACTCTTTGTTGTTATATGGCTTTAAAGATATTACAGAGAAAATTACGTTGCTGGTAGCAAGTTGAAGTCTATACACTAATGCTTATTTTTCTGTTTATCTTCAAAGTGTGCAGCATTTTTCAAGCGTTCTCTGAAGTCAGTGGGATAATCTTCACTGACCTTGACAAGTCCTGTTTTTTTCAGGTCACAGCATCTGAACAGCTGGGGGCCAGTACAAGTTCTTGTATGTCTGTGTTTTCTCTGAACAGGTTTTCCTTTGGGGGTTTAGTGGTTCTTCATCCTAGGCTTCCATTTTCATTTCTGGGAATAAAACAGCAGAAAGAGGTTAGAAAGGTGTTATAGGAAGGTGTTAGAAAAAGGTGTTAGAACTGCAATTTGGCTTGTCCATGACTATTTTGTGGTCATGGTAGTGTTGGGTGATTGTTGAACTTGATGATCTTAGAAGTCTTTTCCAACCTGAATGATTCTATGATTCATTTTCTTCCACAGGATGCAATGGTAACAAGTCAATGTACACATGACAAACACTCTTTGCAAATTGTATGATTTCCTCTTCAAAATGGGTAGTGTCTGCATTTTCACGTTCAGTTTCTTGTTTTATCTTGTGCTAGCACTTGGTAGGTTACTTTCAAGTTTTGCTTTTGGAAATTATAATCAACCTGTTGATTTAAATCAAATTCAGTCTCATTGGAAAGGTATATCATAGTCTTGCTTTTGTATTTTATTTTAGTTTTAAATCTAAGTTTAAAGTGTGTGATCTTAAGCATTCAGCAGGGAGAGTTCCAGTGTTTGACCAAACAGTAGGCATTCGTGTTTGTTTACATTTCTGAAATCCAACGTGAAAAACAATTATTTTAACATTACACAAATTTGCTATGCGATGTGTTTGTGTATGGCTATTATCCATTTTCTGTTTCAGAGTGATGATGGAACTGAGCTGACAGCCAAGCCAAAGAGAAGCTTCTATGCAGCAAGAGATTTATACAAATACCGACACCAGTACCCAGTAAGAGTTTTTTATGGTTTACAACTGTCTTTTTTTAGTACAAGACAGCGTACAATCCAAACATTCCTAAACATTTGTGGTGCTTAATAAATACGAGAAATGAGAATCAAAAAGCTGATGCAGAGACCCAACATATATCAGTGGGAGAAGAGTGAAACTAGTGCAAGGTCTTTTCACGCCAGGTGCACATGAGATGTTACACCTAGGAGCAGCGATGGGAGCCCAGAAAAAGCTTTGCAGCTTGAATGTCAAAGAGGGTAAATTCTAGAGTTTGGCTTTCTTATATTGGCTTCTGAAGTGCCTTGAGACTGAAGGAGCTGCTGTGTTTGCTGCTCTAACCTCCGCCTCAGCAGAAGAAGGTACCAGCCAGAAGGAACTTCTAGATACTTAAACTCAGTCTTTAAGTGCATGAATAAAACTCTGTGAATCATAAAAGTCTATATTTTTTTTTTTGTCCTTGGCTGAATCCTCTTTAATAGGTTTTTGTAGGCTGATAATGTCCTGTTTCTTTTCTTTTAGCAGAACTTTAAAGATCTTCGATATCAAAATGACTTGTGCAATCTTCGCTTTTACAAAAATAAAATCCCATTTAAACCTGATGGTGAGTGATCTGTGGCAACAATAGTGGTAACAACAGAATGTTCATTAATAACAGTAGCAAAGTGAGGCCGCTTTTTTTTGTGTGCTTAAACCAGAGCTGGTTTTCACTCCAGGAAGATGATGTTTGTCATGTGCACTTTCAGCATGGTGTGCTACAAGGCGTTGTTTGTACCGCTGTTTTACAATAGTGGTTCTGCCTTTCATTAAACAAAGATAAAGTTGTTACACTGTGCTGCCCAAACTCTTGCTGCTTGAATAGGAGTGGTAGGAATCAGGGTGTTATCCCTAGAAGCGTATAAGGGAAAAAGAATGTGTTGTAACTACCTTCTGTGGGATGATTATAATAATAATAAAATAATTTCTCAAAGCCCCTAGTGGTTCTGATAGTGGAGCAGGAACCTGATATGCAGCGTTCTGCACACACACAGAATGAGCCAAAAGATGACAAGCTCTAGAGAGTTTGCAGACAAAGTATGAGAGACAAGAGGGGAGCAGACAGATGGGTAAGCAGGAGGAGGCAATAAAACAGTCTTGGTTAGAATGACAGACAGGAGTCTTGGCACATGAGAGCTCAGCCATTGGCAAAAAAAAAAAATTGCAGGCCAAAAATAAGCTTTGGGGAGTTTTAAAAGGGTGATGAGGAAGTTTGAAGGTGTTTGCAGAAAGATTCTCTCAGCATGAGAGCAGCTTGGGAGGAAATGCCAAAGCACTCACTGGAGTACAGGAGTGAGATGTGGAGGCTGCCACTGAGGCAGGATCCTGTCGGAGGCAGGATCAGTCTCATAGCAACAAATGGCTGCTGATGAGATAGGAAGGGATAGGTCTCAAAAGGCTTTGGAATTGAAGGCTTTTGAACTATAGTTTTTGTTTGAGGTTACAGAAGAGGGCTCCACAATGGAAGAATGCCAAGCAAAAATAAAAGAGGCACTATAGAAAAGCTTCAGTCTAGAAACATGATCTTACCAGCAGCGTTCAGGTAAATGTAAGTGTGACAAGAGGGCACTTTTCAAGGTCAGGAAAAAGGATATCAAAATGTCACAAGTTCTGATAGGAAGCTGGATGGTAAGAAATGTTATGCAGAAGGTTGTAAGGGTGTGCGTTTTGGGAGGTTGAAGATGAGAGCTGTTTATAGGCAAGGTAGTTACATCCTCAGCAAGTGAGAAACCAAGTCAGGTTATGTGAAAGAAAGATAAGACCCTTGTTTTAATCATCTTGAGCTTTATCTAGATGTCCACTGGCAGCTGCTGTGTTTTTTTATATACTGGAAGAAGGATCAGATCTGTGAATTACCAGTACAGAGGTAGCAAATTCAGGAGACATTACACAGAGAACAGACTCTGAAAGAAAGAGAATGGCACTGAGGCTTCTGTGAACCTGAGGACCACAGGAACATAAAACTGTAAGCCAGAAAAGGTGGTGGGGCATGGATCCTTCAAAGTGCAAAATGAAGGAGCAATTTTATAGGCTTCACCATGAGAAGAGAGAGTCATGGAGGGCTTCCCTCCTAAAGTTTGTGAAGAATGAACTTTCTCCTAGTATTTTAGGAGAAAACCCCCACTGGTCATGTTGAAAGTAGCTGATATGCCCTGGAGGCTGAAGTGTTGATGAGTGTGAGGTCTGGTTCTGTTGAAGTTGTTACTGAGAATGGGAAAGTCTAGCCATGACTCTGACCTAAGTCTCTGGACCTGTGAGGATGTTCAAAGGGAGTCTAAACTACCATGTTAGGGACTGAACTACTGGGGAATGTTATTTTAAAAAGATGTTTCTAGTACAATGCTAGATCTGAAGTTTAATTCCATGATCTACAGATCTAACTTGTGAATCAGAACTGGTCTGTCTGTCTCTCAGCCCTAGAACTGAGCAGCAAGTTTTCCACTACTTGAAATACAGGTGGGATATAGTGTGGGATGGCAGGAGGTCCTCTTTGCAAGGTCCTTTTCCAGTCTTGCCTGCACTGGAACCCACATGTTCTTAGCAGCCTCTTTGGCTGCTTTCTCCATTTCTTGAAGAGAAGTACTAAATGAGTTCTCCTTTGTCACTGAAACTCAAGTGGAAATTTTCACTAGGAAGAAAGAGAGAGATCTCAAATCCGTAATAGGAAACTGTCTGCATGGGACTTTGGGCTTTTTAGGCCACTCCTGTGCTATTTGACTTTCGGAGAGGCTGTGCAGCAGTGGTGAAACTGTTGTTGGTTTCAGACTAGAAACAGGCTAACACTGAGTGTCCATTCATGGAAAAGGACTGGACAGGTTTTGGAACAAGCAACATCCTTTATGTACTTTGTGTATTTGTGCAGTGCTTGGAAAAGTGCCCTGGCCCATGACTGAATTTCATGAACACAGTCTTAGAACAGGGAATGATTAATTTCCTTTTACATGTACTTTGTTCCCTATTTCTATCACTGTGTCCTCCCAAGTGGAACTGACTGAACTCCACAACTGTTCTGAGACGACTAAAAGCTGCAATTTTCCTTTGTTGAGCATGACCTGAGAACCCAAGGTCAAATTCACAGCAATGGCAGCAAGATTCTTGGCCACAGTTAGTTGAGAAAGTTTTCCCAGTTGTAATGTTGTTTGCAGCTGGAGAGATTCCTTCCTGGAATGAGAGATTTCTTAAAGAGCTGAGGCTTTTGATCTACTGAGATATGGATGCAGTTGTGTATAGGTATATAGGTATGCAGAGTTTTGTCATGTAAAAGCAATGACAGGTGATTCACGATGCAATATTTTATGTAAGTGTAATTTTACACAGTATGACTGGGATCTAGGACATGAGAACTTTTGGGGAAGTATGTTTCAGGGAGGTTATTGTCATGTACTCTCTGCTGGTAAGCAACTCAGTATGAGTCAGTTGGTTTTGTTTATATTGAAATTTGATAAATCTCTTAAGTTTTAGTAACTAAATAAATTTTAAATTAAAATTATTTTATTTATGGCTGTAATAGACCTTATTTCACATAGTATGTGAAAGAGAATTCAAGTATATATTCTATCATTATGTTAACGTGGCATGTACTTTATGTAGCTGAATGTTTACCTAACAGTTTTCAAATTGTTTTTATGCAGGTGTTTATATTGAAGAAGTCCTAAACAAATGGAAAGGAGACTATGAAAAACTGGAACATAACCACACTTATATACAGTGGTTAGTCACTTATTACCTATTTATGTTTCAAAGCATTAATTTGATAATAATAAGTGTTCATATACCATGAGTTGTAATGTGCTTTTCCTTTTAACAGGCTCTTCCCACTCAGGGAGCAAGGTCTGAACTTTTATGCTAAGGAATTAACTACATATGAAATTGAGGTAATACGAATTGAGCTCAATACAAACCATCACATTAATTTTGATACATAATTGCTTTTTGTTATGTAGAGTTGTTTTATACAATGCAGAAACACTTGCTTTAGTGCCACTTAGAATTTTGGATGTATTCTTTGTTTATTAGGAATTCAAGAAAACAAAAGAAGCAATTAGAAGATTCCTTTTGGCTTACAAAATGATGTTGGAGTTTTTTGGAATAAAACTAATTGATAAAACTGGAAATGTAGCACGAGCTGCTAACTGGCAAGAAAGATTTCAGCATTTGAATGAGTAAGTAATGACATGCACTCCACTCTCTAGAACTCCTGTAGGATCACGTTAGTCTTGTTTTGTTTTTTTTTTTTATCTAAAGAAAGGGAAGATATATTTTCCAAAGGCTGCCAGGAAAAAGAGACAAAGAAATAGTCAACGCCTGGTTTGCGTCTATATGCATATGTGTCTCCTCCCCCTTTTTTTGGATTGTGCTTCTCACCTGTTACCAGTCCAACTGACATCGCTGAATCCCCTGAAAATAAAATGTCAGATGGTGCTGAGGAAGATCACAGTTCCAAATCAGTATCTTTGTATTCACATTTCTATATGAGAAAAATCAAATTCTTCACGCCTATATGGAAGCTAAATATCAAGATTTCCCTCCTCAGAACATGAAATATTATGTATTTAAATACCTTTCCATTGCAGTGCTTAGCTGAAGAGGTTCAGATGTGCATTAAGTCAAGTTTTAGCCCAACTTTCAGCAAATTAGATGTCATTTTTCAATCAGCGTTGTGTGAATTGTAATTTTGTACTGAATTTCATCTCATGTGCATTAATAGTATCAACATATCTTTTCAAATATCGTTATTTCTTTTTTAATACCTCTAATCTTAAAGCTGAAGGTTTTTTCCTTGCAGTATTTTGTGCTCCCATCCAAGTGAAAGCTTGTAGCTAGAATTACTGATGGACAGTACTGCGTGAATAATGGGAATAATTTGTTATTAATTTCACTTAAATATTATGTGAGCCAATATGGGTGTGGGCTCAGACTCGGGCCACAGATAAAATGGGGGTTTAGGAAGCCCAAGTGCTACTTGCTATACATTTTTACACTAATTCCTGTATTCTCACACAGGTTTAAGTCAGGAACTGGGACTCTTTATACCTAATTTAGCCATCTAAAATTTAGGCATTTAAGTTTTATTGTTTACCCAGGTATACTTTATGAAAGAGAGAGCTTTTCACAAGCACTTCCAGAAGATAGTTTGATTTATCTTAGACACTTCTGACACTGGGACTTGCTCTCCAGTGGTGCCTGTTTCTCTCCCAGCCCTGACTTTATCGGAAGTGCAGGTAGGTAGTCCAGATTAGAGACCCAGCTTTTGAATAGCTGAAGTGCAATGAATTGTGTTCTGTAGCTGTGTTACTGCAAGGCACTACAAAACCCCTGTTCTGTAAAGTGACTGGGTTTTCTCCTCAGAATGCATACAGCAGAAGGAATCAAAATCATTATGCACTTTGATTTTGATTTTTGCCGTCTGTTGCCTCAGTACATTTTACAGATACTAATTTTCACTCACAACATTCTAGCTGAGAGAGTGGTAGCAAGCTTCAGCAGCTGTGAGAAATTAAAAGTACAGGAAGTCTGAAGGACACACCTGGAGTGATAAAAAGGAGTGAGGAATTGCAATTCTAGTTCTGTAGCTATAAGGGTTTTATTCCTGCTTCAATGGAATTTTTTCACCCTTTTCTTCTGAAGGTCTCAACACAACTACTTGAGAATCACTCGAATTCTGAAAAGCCTTGGTGAGCTTGGATATGAGAGTTTCAAATCTCCCCTGGTAAAATTTATTCTCCATGAAGCTCTTGTGGAAGATACCATTCCAAACATTAAGCAAAGTGCTCTAGAATATTTTGTGTATACTATTAGAGACCGAAGAGAAAGGAGAAAACTCCTGAGATTTGCCCAGCAACATTATATGCCCTCAGAGCATTTTATCTGGGGACCCCCAAGAAAACAGAAGTTAGAGGGAAACAAAACAAGTAAAAAGCCAGTATCTCCAGTTTCTAGTCACAACAGTTACATTTCTAAACATAGGAAACCAAAAGAGCCTAAGAATGCATCTGCAAGTGGAAGCTCAGCTGGTAAAAAAACAGAAGAAAGAAAAGTAGATCTCACAAAAAATGGGGAAGAAAATGACCAGGATGAACAAGAAACGAACTGTGATGCTGTTAGGCAGAACAACAGTGAGAAGAATAGTGATAATGACAGCAGTCGGCTTTCCAAATCAGAAGAAGATCATGATACTTCAGACAGAAAGGAGGACTCTTCTCATTCCAAAAACGATGATGAAAACTTGAACAGTGACTGTGCAAATGACCCAGGTACTGTAGAGGAGGATTTACGTGACACTGAGAATTCTTCAAATGACACGTCAGCAGAGCTACAAGATGGCCTTGATAAGGATATGCCTTCAGGGGGAACCACCACAAAATCCAAGGATGAGCTCAAGTCTTGAGTCCGAGCTTAAAAAATCATTGTTTCATATTGAATGAAGCAGATTATTCATTGCGCCTTCATTTTGGGTGTAGCATAAAATGTTCACAAATGAGACTATGCTTGTTGAGAATGCACCAGATTAGGCTTCTGTTAGGTTAATGATTTTTTTTTTTTTTTTAACCTGGGTTTATCAGCAGTCAACCAGGTGTGGTTCTTTAAAACAATTCAAAGCTAAGAAATTCATTATCTTTTCCAAACAGATTGCATAGAAAGTCGTATCTATTTTTTGCCATTAAAGTACTGCAGTATTTATATGGAAAAAAAAAAAAAAGTGTAATTTAGTAGAAAGCCTCGGGATAGCATAATTTTAAAGTTTCTTTCACTATACTTTAGGTGTTGATTTGCTTTTATGAAATGACTAGAAATGATTTTGAGAGCACAGTTTTTTCCCCTAGTGGATATATTTTTTTATGTTGTCGATTTAATAGCAGTATTTGCACAGCGTCTTTTACCTTAGGTTAGCACCCTTGTCAGAGACACTTAGTAACAAATACCAAGATGTCCTATGCAGCTGAGTATCCCTGCACCTGGGATAAAATTTCAGCCTAAAATGAAACTGTGTCCACAGCGTTTGGGTACAAGGGAAGTTGTTGCACTTTAGACTTTTAGTCCATGTTATGGTCTCCTGTTGACTCACTTGGTAACTACTGCTTATTTGGGGGGAGGGATCTCTCTGGTCACTCAAGTTTGGTTTCAGTGTGAAAGCTCTCTATTGATCAGCTGTGATAACTCTCTCCAACTGGGTTCAGCACCTGGAAAGCCTCTGGACAGCTGAAAAGCAGCATCTTCACCACAAAGCACTGCTTAGTCATCAAAGCTATCAGAAAAAAATGTCACCAGGCCTGTCCAGATGGGTCTTACCTGAGCTTGGATGTTTCTTGGCCAGTCTCGGGTAAGGTCTGCACAGTGCTGAACCCCCTGTTGTTGGTCTGGGAAAGAAGGGAAGTCCTGATCCAGCTGTCTGTTTCCTCTCTTTGCTCTCTATCAGAGGTCTTTCAGAGTTCAGTCTTACTTTGATCATACTTTACTTTGAAACCTGAGGCAGGTCAGTCTGCTGGCCCAGCTGGAGCCCAGCAGGCAGGAATTTACCAGTTAAGTTCTTTTGCAACTTTCTCCACTGCTTTATCTGAGTAGCCTCTTCTGACTTCATGCCATTCAGTCAACCAAGATAGTACCCAGCCAGTTAGTTGTGTAGAATATGGATTACAAAATAATGCAGGTAGAACTCACACTTTCTACAATCATAAAATAGTCTAAAACTTCTGTATGTATTTTCTATCTAAAAGTGTATATATTATCCATTGCCTTTAACGTATTTTTGATAAAATGTTAGGAGGCAAGTGGCTGACTACAATTCGAGTGTCAGTGCTATGGGACTTCAATCAAGTCTTACATGACAAAAAAAATGACAAAGTCTTCAGGGGTTTCAGAGCATAGACAAAATGTCTTGTATTTTTCTGTTTCACCAATTCCCATCATGGCAGCGCATCATCCATTGCTCTCCCCAGGTAGCCCTGTTTCTTGGGATCAGATAAAGTGGCAGCTGGAGGTCTTGATACCCAGGAGATTTTGATACCCATGGACATATCCCTCTTTGTTCTGTGCTGGCTTGTAAGGAAAGGAACCTATGTACATACTGCTTTTTTTTTTTTTAAGGATAACCAAGATCACTCAGGGAGGCATTAAGTCTGTCTGAGCACAAATGCCCCAGGGAATTCCTTTGGCAGCCACCACTTCTTTAAAGCAGGAAGGGTGTTGAGAAGCCTTTCACAACACCTTGGAGTTGAACTAGGATATCCTTGTTCATGTTTGCCTCTGACCTTTAGAGAAGAAGGGGACAGGAAACGTCAAGATAAAATTGGTCCATGTAGTTAAGGACTCTGACCCCATGCACACGCACAGGGAGGACAACCTTATGTTCTGCCAATGACTTTTAAATCGTGAGTGCCTAACCATGCCAACATAATATTGTTTTTATTATGTAGTTATTTCTTGAATGGCATAGGGAAAATTTATACTCTGTCTATGGGGGACATAACTATAAGGTAGTTAGTTAAACAGAGCCTTCAATGTATGGACTTTAGTGTTGAGGTTAAACGCTTTTTTTTTAAAAAAAATTATAGTGTTCAAGTGAAATGAAAGATGATGGGGGTGTTATATTTATACTCTAATTTGATCAAACATTGATGACCTCAGGAGATCTTTTGTCTAATGAACAACAACAAAAAAGAAATCTTGCTCTAATTTTCTTTGCCGTGTTCTGCTGTTGTGACACAGCTTTCACCTATATGTGCTTGCTGGTTCTACACTCATAATTAAGTACTTAATGTACTTTTAATCTGGCAGGGCCATCTGCATTAAGGGCCCAGTGTATCTGAAAATATAGTCAAGAACTCTGGAACTCATATCCTTGTTAACTATTCAATTATATTTGGGGTTGTTTTTTTTTTTTTTTAAATCCGCAACTCAGTGTATTTCCATCAGTTTTCACAGATGTGAAAAGTGTAGTGGAATACAAATTGCCTACAAACAACTATGGGGATTAGGTAAGTGAGATTTTTTGTGTGTGTCGGGTGGGCTCCTGCAATCTGTAATCCTTGTTCTACAGCTTCATCTACAGAATTACTCCCATGGGACACTTCAGCTTTAACTAACAAATTCTGCTCTATGTAAAATGCAACGTTTTGTCATTCTTTTCGTGGAGGAGTTATCTTCTGATTGTGCAGGTGCTCAAAAGGAGGATTCATTGCAGGGCAGTCGTACAGTGTAGTGTCCCGTGGAGATTTGTGAGGATTGAGTGGGTGCACTGTATGCACTTCATTACAGAATCATGGCCTTAGCAACCAGAAGCACCCTGTCCTTGAAGTTTCCAGATGCTGGCTTTCAGGTTTACAGTGCAATGTATGTTGCAATGATTGTATTCACATCAATGCCGATACTTAATTCTGTAACCAGTAGCTCAGAAACTGAGGGTGTGCAAAGAAAGTTAGAACATTTGCTCGTGGTTAACTTGGTTTTGTCTCCATATGCCCTTAAATATTCAGGGATTTTTGTGTGCTCACTACAATAAGGTGTTTTGGCCCAGGGTTTTGCTAGAATCTGAACTATTTATTCATTAATTGAACAGAACCTCCCATACAAGAGTCTCTTTCCTAGTGAGGACATAAGTGTCCCTCAGTACCTCATACTGTGTTGGTGTGGAGACACGAAGCTTGGGTGCCTGAGGTGTGCACCACAGACCATTCAGATAAGAAGGGCAGTTATGCCTGTGCTGTATCTAGGAGCATAACTGAGCTCCTGGTGTCCATATTGCTCACATTTAAAGGCGTGATCCTGAAGGATGATAAAAGTATTTGCAATAAGCCTTTGAGAGACATTCCTTGGCTTGGTCAGCTCCTCGGTTTCCTATTCTAGGATTGCAGCAGTATTAAGTATTAGTATAATCACAGTTAATATTCCATGTAACCTAGTGTAAGGATCCTTGAATTATTCCAGAATAATTCTAATAATCTGCAGTTGCATATACTTGTGCTACAACCAGGAAGTTTACAGACCTTAAAAGCTTTGTATAATTTTGATGGATAATCCAATAAGATAAGTCAAGGGAGACTAGATTTAAATGGAAAATAGCTCTTGTTTATTTTTAGATAAGATTTAAGTGTATCTGTTTGTTGTTTTTTTTTTTTTTTACCTTTCTTTTCCTGACAGTTGTGATGGTACTGATGAACAATTACGGTAAGATATATATGTTTAAGTTAAAAAGTAACTCTTATTAAGCCATACTTTTACAGGTAAAATATCATATTGAATTTCCTTTTAAAAAGCTGTATTTATGAATAAGGTATGTGAAGAAAGTTTTGCCATTAATAAAGTGTGACGAGACCATGCTAATGATGTACGTTGTCCTAAGAACTATCAGTGTGGATCAGAACCAAAGATGTTTCTAGCCTTGTATCCTGCATCCAGCGGTGGCCACCATCAGGTGGTATGAAATAAAGGACAGATAAGGTGATCCCAGTCTTCTCTAGGAATTTTTCAGTTTTTGAACTTGGTTTCTTTCAGCCTCCACAGTCCCTTGAGGCTGTGAGTTGCATGTTTTAATTGTTTTGTGTGGAAAAAAGTAGTGTCTTGTTTGTTTTTCTCAGATACCTTTATTCAAGAGTTGCTAGTACATTTGAGCAGAGTTACTATAACTACTGTAAGATGAGCAGTAATCCACTTCAAGTCAGTTTTTAGAAGCCATGGGAGACTCCAATGATAAAATACCAGCTTAGGGAGAAAATGTCCCGTTTCTGCCCTCAGGCAGAAGACATCTGCTAAGGCAGAAACCTTGCCCTCTGTTGATGATTTTCAACACCATAGATTCACTACTACAGGTATTTGGATGCAGTTCTCCAGTACAGTGTCTCTGTAATATCTCTGTTCTCTGTATTGCCTGTGAACTATTTATTTTCCTGAAAGCTTTGTTCCTTTCACAAGCCCACGTTCTTAAGTATACTTAAGACCATTGGGGAAAGCAAGAGTTTATTTTAAAGAATATGTTTAGTACATGCCGTGCCTAAGTGACTCCTAAAATACAGTTCAAAAGCTATAGAGATCAATTAAATAGAGACCTCCTGTGGCTTTACACTTCCAATCACCTTTATATTTATTTTCAAAAGCCTTAAGCTGTTTGCTGTAAAATAACAAATGAGAGAATTGGCAAATTGTTCTGAAGGAAGTCTCTTACTTCTCACAAACTCGGCACTTTTCAGTTCTGCCACGCTTACAAGCCTAGCGGCGCATTCATCAGCTGAAGTTTATCGTGAGTTCTCCTTGAGTGTATTTGCTGCTGTGTATTTGCTACTACGTGAAAATTACTGTTTTGCAGTAAAAAAGGTTATGACATGTTTGGGGGGGTTTGCTTAAGCATGTTTGCCAACGATTAGTTGCCCTTTTTCTGTGTTTTAACCTATTCCA